TCAACTGAAAGGCCAGATGCATCTCTCAGGCCATGTGCCAGGTCTTTGCTGGTTTGCTATTTCTTAAGGACATAACGTTCAGAGACTGATCATCTGTTGTAGATGTTTTGTTTTTGTTTGCTTGTTTTTGTCAGGCCTGTGCTGCTTTTGTCCTCCTTCTTGCCTAGTTTCTTCAAAAGCCTTTAAGCACACACTGCATAGCATGTGGAGATACCCCAAGTTATTGGCTAGCTCTTTGGGAATAATATAAAATACTATTATACACCTTTAAAATGTGTTATCTTTGATATTTTTTGACTCATATGAAGTAAGTTGCTAGGTGCTAGTAACAAAGGACCTAAAGATACAGCTTGACTGGTTGTTTACGAAGTTGTCTGTTATGTGTAGCCTTTCCATTCCTTGAGTTAGATGTTATCTGCCTGACTACTTGTTAACAGAAATATCTCAGATATCTAATCAACTCAGTATATCTAAAGCAACTCAGTGCACTTAGCCTTCAACTTAGAGAATGGTCCAAAAAAGAGAGAATATCCAGTGAGCATCAGCTGATAAATTTGCAGCAACTGTGTGATGCTGTTATTGTCAGTATGGACCAAAATCTCTAGAAGTGTTCTAGAGACTAGACCAGAGACTCCTGTACCTTGATGAATCCATGCCAAAAATAGATAAGACAGTTCTGAAGGCATAAAGGGTTCCAGCCTAATTTGCTGACAAGAATAAGTAAACAAGACGGTGACGCTGAAGCACCCCCAAAGACTTCTTACTTTTTTTGACAATATTTACTACTAAAAATATAAAAAGCATTCAGTACTTGTTTGAGACATAACATTTTAACAACAAAAGTATAGATAACACCAGATTGTCAGTCCAAAGAGGGAGAGAGGAAAGAGGGGAACGTGAGGAGAAAGTACAAGGTCAGGAAGAACCAGGTAAGAAAACAGACAGGGAATAGTGACAGGCACAACAGAAACTGTTAAACTGCTTGAGAGAGTTGATCACCAAAAAGTGATAGACAGATTTGCCAACCTCAAGGTGAGGCGACAATCTGCAGAGCCATAGTAGTATCTGCAGTAAAGATCTTTTCATACATTGTATACATTGTACCATAGGCAAAGTTGCCTCCATTTTTATAATTTTATTTATCAATATTTTGTACATTTCAAGTGAATCTCTGTCCAAAAAATGCACTCAGTTTACTTTTTACTCACTATGAGCATCATTCATTATTCTCCCCCAGTAATTAAGGTTAGGATATGTATTTTTTATTTATTTATTCCAATCCATTCTTCGTTTGCAGCTTTTAAATAACCTTTATCTGATTTGATGGTTTTGTTACTGACTTTTCAAAAAAGTGTTTTGCTTTTCTTTCTCAAATGTGGGGATTAAATTGTGTTAAAATGTACAAAACAGTGATGTCATGTTTTGTGACGAGGACCCAGGCACAGAGAGACTTGGTGAATTTAAGAATCTTATGATTTAATAAAGAAATTTGCAGACTTGCACAGAGATGGTAAAATTATGATGACTGATAACGGAGACGAAGACAACAGACGATGAGGACAGGGAGGAACAGGGGTTTAAATGCACCAAGGAGACAGTCACAGGAAACTCGGGACAACATTTAAGGATGCAGGGACTGACAGACACGGGGAAGAAGTCTCATCGTGACGAGTAAAGTTTATCTTGCCTGGCTGGGCAGCTCTCTGGGTGCTCAGCACCCCCAAAGCTCTGATCCTAGAATCGCCCCTGATGGTCAATCTGTCCAGATATTCTTGTTATACATGACTGTTTTTGGTACTATAAAGACACTTCTGTCTGCACTAATAAAGCACTGTTGGTATTACCCAGCCCTACTTTTGACACACAGTTGGAGAGCCAACAAAAAAATCCAAAATTTTATCCTGAGCAGCAATTAAAACACCCCTGCTGCTGTTACTCTTGTTCTTAAATAGCTATAATTGAACAGCTGTCCTGAGATTTTATAGTCCTGCTGTCAGATTTGTGCTATGCTCTTGCTTTTACTGGTCTCAGGGCTTTTATGTGTTTCTGAATATAACTAATGATTTTGATATTTTATAGCTTGGAGTTTAAACTTCAGTGGAACCCCTGCTTTGGGGTTTTTGCTTCCTAAATTCATGACACCACACAGGAGATAACTCAGCCTGCACATATTCGCATTATCAGTGGGAGGGTAATGTGAATATTTTTTAACCTACTCTGCAGATGGTATTTGCAGAAAATTTGATCTGACGTGAAGGCAGCATCAGAGTATATGAGTCTGTTGTACTTGCCAGTTATCCCACACAAGTTAAAATAGCATATCTAATACTAGGAGATAATCCAAGGTTCAAGCGATAGATACTACAGCAATAGAAATCAGACAGGTTTGTTTGCAAGAGGCTGCCTGGGTTTGGGGCTAAAATAATGTTTGATCTTTTTCTGTGTCTGTGTGTGTGTGTGTGTGTATTAGATAACAGTTGTTTTACAACTGGAACCATGTCAAGGGCTTCAGTGAACATTGTGTTGGGAACCTTTGACTCAGCCTAGTCAACCATTGTAGTGGCAAAAACAAAGAAATTAACCAAGGGAAAAGAGGTTGATAGAACGCAGCCAATTTAGGCATTAAATTCCTATTTATTTATTTTTGAAGAGTCAAGGGTCAGTTCACCCAAATTAATGCAAAGAGACTGAAATGAAAGATCTTTTTTTCACTTCCTGATCTTCTGGGACTTTTTTTTTTTGCCTGTTCTTCCTTAATGAATGGAGCTTGCTCACTTCTCATGGTGGTGGCTCAGTTATCATGTGGCCTAAATATAGGGCCACTGTCATGCCAACTGAGCCATCTCGTTTGGCGGGTGAGGAGAAGTCGCCTGCTGACATCCATCAGAAAAGGTGTTGTAAGTGGACACTTTACAAGACACAGATGAATAGAACATTTCAGAAGCTTAATACAGACAAATGATTGACATTACCGCAGCCCAGTGCAGCTCCCTGTCTTTAAAAAAAAAGAAGAAGAAAAAAAAAACTGGTTGAGGGTTACAGTGACTCTGAGCACAAGACTGCCATCTGGTGGTAAAATTAAACAAATTAAACACATCTCTTTGGTGTTGATGGAGTCTACCTTTGCCTCCTGGTTGTTAGATGCCATGCATATGAAATGACTTATCATTTACATGAAATCAGATGTCAGACTATGAAGTCATTATGGCTGCATGCCTCATCAGCGTAGAGTGTGTTCATGTAGTGCTGACAGGCAGTGTTGAGGTAAGTATGTTAAAGCGTGATGGAGAACATTAGTCTTTAATGACTTCCTCTTGCATTCCACTACTAAATGCAATATTAGGTATTCAGTATGTATGAAGTCTATCTAAACTTGGTTACAGAATGTAATAATGTGAGCATTAACGAGTATTTATTTAGGTAACTAACTGAAATCATAGCGTGTAAATTCCTTCTGATTACCAGATTTTCTTTATTTTTTTCTTGATGTTTTTAGCATCCCGACCGCACTATTCCTGTCATCATCATAGGGATACTCGTTTTTCTTCCTGGATTTTACCATTTGAGAATTGCCTACTATGCTGCAAAGGGTTACCGGGGTTACTCCTATGATGACATCCCAGACTTTGGCGACTGAACCAAATACCATCCAATCATCCCCTATTTTTCCTCACTGTGTATCTTGGTGCCTGCTGTTTTCTGACTGAATGTATGTATCAAAAAGTAAAACCATATAATTTTAGGATAGATATCTGTATTTGTCTGGGTGGGCTTACTGAAAGATTTATGGTGTGTGTGTGTTTGTTTTGTTTTTTTTCTCCTAACTTTTTTCCTAAAATGTGGCTTGTGTGTTCACATGTCTGCCAAAGCTCTACAGAAGTTAGAGACTTTACATATATATGCAGCTTTATTAATATTAAAACACTCAGTGACTGGTGGATATCAGTCCATCTGCTTACCTGAAACAGCACATCAATGTTTTTGCTGTTACGCACCTCACTACATACATTAAGAAATGATCAGTGAGTATAGATTTTGACAGATGCCTTTAATTTACTATTCCTAGAGTGCACGACTGAGAATCGGTGTGATTATTGTATAGTACTTTAATGATGTACAAATAGGCATCTTGTATTTTAAATTTGTGGCTTCATGTGTTACATCGTAAAAGATGATGGGAACTTGCATGTCTCCTAAAGATTGTATTTGCATTGCTATCAAGATTTATTACTTTAATGATGTAAAGTATATTTTTAACAAAAAAGTATCACTTCCCTTATAAAGTATTGCCTTTTGTCTACATTTGCTTGGTTTTGAATATTTACCAAAATGTTATTTTGCATACACTTGCTGGAGTTAAAAAATATTAACAACAATAAAAATGAGACTACAAATCTACAAAAAAGTTTGATGTTTTTTTTTATCCTTTGTGATTGTTGGGTACAGCTGGATTACATCCTCTGCAAAGTCTTTTTGAGATATGCTTTCGATGTCAGACTCTGGATGAATTAAAACTTGAGTGTTTAGCAAAGAATCATGACTCACTTTAATAAATAATCTGTGTTAACATGTGTCTATATCAAAAAGCGAAAGACAGGGATCAAAAAAGCAATTTTAGGAAAAACTTTCACTAAGTTTAAAAAAACCCCCAAACATCTGTCCTTTGTCTAACAAGTACATCTGTTCTCCCCGTTTGGCCACCAACATCAGGTAAAGGACACCCTCTTGTGGTTACCGCTAAGCTGGATGCCATCAAGGGATTAAGGGCTAAAAAAATCTCCTTTCATCCTCTGCCTGCACAAACAAACACAGTTATTAAATCAGCATTGGCTCAAACATCCAGGGGCTTATAGGACTGTGGTCTGTCAGTTTACTTTGTTTTGCTTTGAGCCTTTTGAACATAACAAGGAAACAGGAGCAAGCAGCGGAGGGAGGAAGGAAAGAAGGGAGGGGGGAGGTTGGACTCGGGCAGGAAGAGCACAGTACGTCGATCCCTCGCTGTCACCTGTAAGTGAAATGAACACCTGTTGTCGGTGGGCTTTTAAAAGGAAAACGCTCAAATTTCAGGTAGTTTGCAACGCTACAAAGGAATAAGGCCCGTTTTAGATTTTCAGCCACTGACCCGGTGTCTACAAACTCGGGCACAAGTTGGACTAATACTCGAGAAGGATGTGTTTTTAAAAGCAAAATCTGCCAGCGGCTGAAACGGAGCTACAGGTAAGATAAGTAAGAAAAAAATAGAAGATGTTAATGATTTTGAAAGTGTGTCTGACTTCCAGCAGCTTTAAAAGGATGAGAAATTAATGCTCGGAGCTCAAACTGTGGAGTGCCAAGTTTCCTCTCAATCCTCTGAACTGTGGCATGCATTTAAACGTCAGTAATGAAGTTTCTATGGGGGGGATTTTCATTCTAATGCGCAATATGAAACTGACAGAAACTCAGGAACAGCCATTTGCCATGAGTAATTAAAACGTCCCAATGCAAACTTAAGTCTGTTTTCTATTGTTTACATTATTTATTTGTATGTTGTTTTTTCTTTATGGTTGTTGCTTTAATTGAGAATGACAACCTTTAGATTATTAAAGAATTTGGAGTCACGTTATTAGAGAAAAACAGGGCTAAGATATTGGCTGTTAGAGCGTGAGTAGACAAACACGGTACATTCAGAAGGAGGGGATTTTATGCCGCATATGGATACAACTTTCACAAGCAGCAGTGCAATATGTAGAGCCAGAACCAGCATATAAGAGCTCATATTTTTCTGCTATTGTCTTTGTATTGAACCCACCGTCTATCTTTATTTCACCACTTATGGAAGAAATGGTCTCATAACTTTCCGAGACAAGCATCATTTAATGGTTTGAAATTCTATTTTTGGTTTGAATTGAGGTTGCTGATGTGCCAGATGGGTGCAGTTTCCCGTTATATATTATTTTCCATAAAGTTTATATCATCAGAGGGAGCAGAGTGGCAATTAATTCAGCAGGACTTGGTGGCACCTGAATAGTACATATGCAATAAACACTTCAGATCTGACACCTAAAGTGGGTTGAAGTAGATCATTATCTACAAAACTATTTCTTTCCCAGTGGGTTTTTTTTTTTAGCTTCTGCGTTCCAGTGAGCCCAGTACTGATACTGGAGAAAAACTGACAACAGTGTAAATAAAAAAAAAAGTAATTCTTTAAGTTGAATAACATACAAAACATCTATGCAAGGTGGTTTCTTCAGTGTAATACACCTGTGGAAACCGTCAACTGCTCAGTGTTTGAAATTCTAGTTAAAAGTGCAATGCACCACAATACAATGGCCCTTTAAAAAGGAAAATGTAATGTATTAGTGTATCCCTTTACAACACAGACAGCTGGGACTACATGAACAAAAATCTAATCTACTATGTGTTAATGCCTTTAAATTTTGTAAATACAACAGTGTTATGATTCAAATGTTGGCAAGTCATGATTGGTCCCTTATTGTCTCCTGTTAACAAACTCAGCCCCTCCCACTTTAAACCACAGAGAAGAGCAAAGGCAGACAGAAAGAAAGGAAACGTACAAGCCCCTACTATGGTGAAATACCCAAAACGTGTGTAACTTTGGATGAAAATTGTGTACAATGTTTAGGATAAAGCTGAATTTAAAATAAAAAAAGAAAGTGTTTCAGGGATTTTAAGCAGAGCTGTTGTGATCATTTCCAACTTGATATTTTTATTCTTGACTCTGCTGAATTTCTTTGCACGATTCTTGCTTCAAAGTACTAATTCACTGTGGGAAACAAGCAGTTTCAGTTCCTCTCCCTTTAAGGCCACCCTCCCTTAAAGCCAAAATTAATCTGATTAGCTTCTGTTTGCAAACAGTAGAATTTGAGCAGAAGCATTTAGAGCAGTCTGAATCCTTAGATTTGGACTCACAAACATTTGTACATATGCTCACCTCATTTGAAACATTTGGCCTTGTATATTATGAACAAACACTGCCCTAATGTTTGAATTTCATCTGATTTTAAACCTTGAGTTGAATGAAAGCAATGCTTTCATGTCTCTTTTTTTAGACATGAAGACCTTAACTTGACACCAATGATTTAGACTTTCATGCAGAGTTTATCCCTTTCATTTGGAATGACAACAGCCTCTCCAAGCCCAAAGATTAAACACTTTGTCATAAAATCTTTTCCCTAACAACCACAGAGCTTTGAATGATTTCAGCAGTGGCCAGTCACGTTGCACGAGCTTTGGAGAAAGGTGCATTTGACAGACAGCAGATGATACCTTGTGTTATTTGATTCAGATGTCAAGACTCTGTTGTTATCAACAAAACACAGACAGTAGCATGCATAACAGCAGAGAAATGACAAATACTTGTTCAAAATTGGACCATTAGTTTACAGAGAACTGCATTATCTGAAATATTTGGTAGCATTGTTAATATAGATGGTAGTTGACAGTGAATTTGGATTTATAACAATTTATTTATGGCTTGAAAGACAACATTTATGACTTCAGCTTAACCTGGAACTTGCGGTTCTTGATTTGGGACTCAGCTTTGTAACCTTTAGATGATGGATTAAATGAAGTAAAGATTGTGGCATTCACCTGGATTCACAGAACGGCTTCTGAGCAGAGAGATGCAATACCCACACTGCAAAAAAAAAAAAAAAAAAACCTCTTTATTTTTCCAGTTTTCTCTCTCATTTTGAATGCCCTATTTTCGCTTAAGTGCACATCAAACCAAGCTACACAGAGAGGTTCCTATTGTGATGGAAAGTGTGTGTTTGACTTTGAAAATGGGCTTTTTCTAACCCATGTGCAAGCCATGAAAAAAATACAATGTAGACTTACAGGGTGGATTAGAGCAGGTTGATTGCCAATGCGCAGTATTTATGAACTCTGAGAGGGAGCTGACAGTCAGCACTCATGACATGACAGCTCACATTTGCAAAATTGTCAGTAATGAGATCAGCACATGGTCTTGGGATGGGTCCACGAGTCATGGGAGCTTCCTGTGGTGCCTGGCACCAGTGGATTGGCTGGAGTTCCCTAGGGCTTTTGTTGTCTGGCCACATCTGTGCTTAAGCCATGGGACCTTTGGGGCTAGTGGAGGGCACTGCTACCTGGGAAGCTGTGGAGACAAGGGTGTGTGGTTAGCTTGCATTAATGTTTTGGTGCATGCTACGTGTCAAAGAAGTATCCATGTGAATGCCAGTGCACAGGAATACCACTGCAGAATATTGCACTGTAACAAGATGATGTCATTTTAATGTTGTGGCTGATTTGTGTATATGCAAACTCAGTAGGAAGCCAGAACTGTGGGACTTCAAAAACCTACTTATTTTAGATCAAATGTTAAAAAGTACTTTTAACGTAAATCTGAACTCTTTTGGGAATAATTAAAGTTATATAGCATTTTAAAAGTTGTGTGAATACTATATTCACTATATTTTTTTCAACTAGTTTGAGACCAAACAACGCAAAGTACTAAAAAAAGAAATACTCTAGATAGTTGGAAAATTTTGAGTCAGCGTTTCTTATTTCAGCTCACAAGTCTTTAAGGAGGGAAGTAAAAAATCTGGTTTTATAGTAGTCCACCACAAGGCAGGACCATCGGTTGACATTTTTGGCTTTTTAGTTTAAATAGCTAAGCTGCTATTGAATTGATGACTTTGGCAAAGTATGACTTTTCCTGTTCTGCCACCATCAGGTTATCAT